GACATGCGTTGAAGGGATGAATTTAAAATTTAGAATATGATATTCTGTTATGATCTTGGATTGGATGCTTAAAGGATGAATAGAAGTTAAGATATCATGGCCAAACGAGTATTAGACAGACTAACTCGACAATTAAATTTCGATGACGAAACTTTCTTTTAGGGGGGTGGATTGTAAGATCCCGAACTAGAACTAAATTAGAATAATATTATCTTAATACTTTTCCTAGGATGAATAAAAAGATGATAGAAACCTTGAATTATTTTTGAAAGATTGATCATAAAATTTGAGTTTTAGGCGAATTGACTTTCGGGTCAAACTTAGTTTCGAAGGTGTTTAAGTTTGAGAAGGGTGACTAAATAATTTTATAAATATTTTTAAGTCAAAATAAAGTCTCTAATAAATCTAGAAGGTTGAAAAACATTGGAAGAGGTTATACGAGATATATATTAGAAGTTTAAAAGTATTTCGGAGTTAAAACCTATTTTGGAGAGGATTTGGGTAGAAAAGAATTTGACACTACCTTAGTATTTTAATTATAACTTTTTACTCGTAACTTCGGTTGAGCTGATTTTTGGAGAGTGGAAAATAAACTTCAAAGACTACAAAAGTATATTTCATGAAACTTTTGTGAATCGGCTTCTCACTTGGTCAAAATATCATCTGAAGTTTTGACAAAAAGTCAGACGCATCCGGACAGGAGAAACACGCATTCAGACGCATAAGGCAGAACTTGGACGATCTTTGTGGAGTGTTTTCTCCACTTTTGACATTATAAATACCTAAGGAATGACAATTAGGCCAATGTTCAACAACTTTTCATTCGAGAAAACCCTAGAAAGCTTGAAAGGAAGAAAGAGAGGAGATATGAGGAGGATTCTCGCTTTGGGATTGATTCAAACACGCTAAGGTTATCTTCAATTATCGGATTAAAGGCAGGGGATTCTTCTTGAGTTCTTTGATTGAGACTTAGGGTATTATCTATGTATGTTTTCAATCTTCTTGATAGTTATATGATTAATATTTATGAGTTCTTAGTTTATTTATCATTGAAACATAGTTTTGAACAAAGTACAAGTTTGGGTTCAAAAAATACTTGTTCTTGAATTTCCAAAATCCTAGTTTTGCTAAATACAAGTTTGGTTATGAAAAATATATGGATTCTTGATTTCTAAATTCCTATTCTTGATTAAATCATGTTTTCATCTAATACTTGTTCCTATTCCAAGAAATTATAATTTTTGGCAAAATTCTTGAATTTTGAATATCAAAATTGTGAAGGTTTTCTTGATATAATCTCTTGCATATTTTATTTTCTTTATTACTGTAGTATATTGAGAATTGTGAAATTATGATGCTTGAATTGTTAATATAAATTGTAATTGATTAAGATTACAATTGTTGAGAAAATTGTGGTTTCATCTCTTGTATGGTTTGTTGTGACGGGCTTGAATTATTTTCAAGAGCTACCATAAAGTGTTAGAGGTTAGTTTATCCCAGTGAGGATGAGATGGTAGCCTAACACTTGTAGTGGATTTGTTGTTTGTGAGAGTAACCACTATTGTTCACTTAAGTTTGAAGCTGAGGGATGATATACCTTTCCTTGGAAGGATTCGTTAATGTCGTGGAAGACGGTATACGTCATTCCTAAAGTAGTTTGTGATTTGGCCCTACGGGGTATGATTGAGATTACGTGGTTGTGATGGGTGAACGAGGTAGAATCGTTTTGTAGATTTCTGAGAAGCAACCAACATACATGAGAATGAGAATGAACCAATATACATGAGAATGAGGATGAACTAATATACATGAGAATGGTGATGAACCAACATATATGAGAATTCGGGATGATGCTACTGAGTTAATTATTGATTGTTTTAGTTTCTTTCATGGTTATTCCTATTATTGATTTGTTGTATTCCGTACACTTGAAATAATTACAACTATGATGGTTTTATTCTAAAGAAATTATATATGCTATTTTCCAAAAGAGTCTTGCCTTCTTTTTATATTTAAAAACCTTGTTGGAATTTGAAAATGATTTCCTATGAGATTTTGCTCACCCCCTACAACACACTTACAAATGTGGATATAGAAGAGGATGTCGGTGTGGATGAGAAGGTTAATTACGAGCTGTTGGAATATCAAAACGTGGATCCTATTTTAGAATAATATAGTTGTTCTATTTTTGGTTTAGAGTTTGAGAGATCTTTATGAAATAATATTTTAACTAGTTTAATTATTCCGCTACTAAATACTATTTGGTTTTGAATTGTAAGTTTGAGAAGTTACCATGTATTATTGGCTCTAGTATTTATTTTTAGTAAGATGGATGTATGGTTTACTATTTAATGGTTGTTGTGATTTTTTTTTTTGTTTCATTTTTTTGGGAGGGGGAAGGGGAAGGGGAGGGGTGAAGGGGGCTTGAGCCATTGACCTTAAAAAGATAAAGCTTTTACAAGATAAAAAGTATTATTGGACCAAAAATTCATTGGTTATTGTAGTTGCTCTCATGATTGGATGGTTTTAGACAGTAATGTCTTCCAAGATGAATTTTGGGGCGTTACAGTTAAAGTTATGATATAACAATATATTGATAAATAAATTTTAATTTTTTATTTTAAAGAGTCAATCCGTAAAAATTTATCTTCAATAGGCTCTCTATTTACACTTGCTAAAATAGAGAGTTCAATTTGACTTTCTACATTTTGAGAGTCAACCTCACTCTTTATTCTTTAATTAATGAATGAAAAAATAACATATGTCCATTTTGCAATAAATGTTATTCGTTATAAGGACTATTTCTAATGAAATAGAAAGTCTTATTGGAGTTGTCAAAAAAAAAAATCACTCACTATATTAACTTTTTCTAAAAAAATGTTCTTTATTATAAAAAAATATTATTTAAATAGAAAGCATTATTTAGAGATGCTATGTAGAAATAGAATAGAGTGGGATGGACTCTCCAAATGTAGAGAGGCAAATGGGGCTCTCTATTATAGTTAATCTAAATAGATAGCCTATTGGAGTTTATTTTTTGTTGTTGATTCTCTAAAATAGAGAGTTGAGTGGTAATAGAAAACTTATTGAAAATGCTTTTCTCACTTAAGTGTCAAATAATGTGATGTGTGTTCATAAGGATATGCCTATATAAATAGAGTGCAATTAAGTTCTCCCCATGATTTACATAAATATATGCCCTAGACATAGGCCACTAAGTTAGCAACCTAGGCCTCCCAAATGGAAATTAACATTTGGGAACTTTTTAGGATTGTCTAAAAACATTAGGTCGCCAATTTGAACCTAATTTTTGGTTCTGCTATTTTTTATTTTTGTAAACAAGACTTCATTTATTGATCATCTTCAGCCATGCCTTATATATCACAGGACATTCAACATACACAAATCCCTTCTTACATTCATTCCAAAATTATTAATTTTAGCAATGAAAAATAAAATTTTAACTTTCTTTCTCCATATTTTTAATTTATGAGAAGCTTAATTACGCTTTAATCCAAATTCAACTTCACCTACTGTAATTTTTATGCACGAAACTTGAATGTGAAAATTTAATTAGTATATTTACATCTAAAAAAATGAGATAAACGTAAATTGCGTCCTTTTGTTGGGTATAACACTAACAAATGGCCAACTCTTGGGCATTTTTCTTTCAAAAACTCATTCAAGAGTGCCAAATCTAATTTGATGAGAAATTAATCCCTCTCAACATCCATTAGTATTCCATCAAATTTTACAATAATTTTCAAGTAAATATATTAAAAGAGTAGATAACCAAAAATATTTATTTGGTTAAAAAACTTGTTATGGTATTTTCATTACATGTTTTAAAAAAAAAAACACCATATCTACACATCTGGAACTAATTTCAGAAACTAAGTTTTGGAAGGGAGGGCTTTCTTCCAATGAATAGATCAAGGTGCCTAACTCGCACAACATAGAAACAAATAAAAAAAAATTATAAGTAACTAAAACAATGATCATCAACCACGAATAAATGGGATAACTTGACGCTATCATTGACATGATAAGATATAGAATTAAGATCTTTTCTACAAAAAAAAAAAAATTATGTTTATTGTTGTAGCAAAAACCAAATAGCAATTGTTTATAATTTGGTAATTAAGGCAACAAACAAACAGACACACAGAACGAGGAAGTGGGAAGAAGAGGGGTGGTGCTGTGGTGGTGGAGTTGGGGGCTAAAGAGTAAATAGATCTAGAATTACAGTAATGACCTTGATATCACTTTGTTGAAATCAAGAGGACAATAAATACAATTGGAGTAAAGGAAAAAAAAAAAGAAAACTCAAACTAAAATAATTTTTATTCAAGTCGAGTATAAACGCATCACTTCCTCCACTTACTCATCGTATAACAATTAAAACATCAGGACACCACTTTCTTCTTTATTTGCTACAAATAACACCCACCAGACTACTAACATACCTTAGTAAGACACTTTAACTATACGATAAATCTCTTAAAATAAGTCTACTTCCCAAGAGAGAGAGAGAGAGAGATCTTTAGACTTGGTTGTACGTGTTAGCAGAGCTAACACACAAACTCTGGTACAGGGAGCGCCTTCTCAATCATCTGTTCTATCCTGTGAAGAGAGAATTTTGGAGTTGCACCAGAAAAACATGTAGATGAAATAAAACTGGATTTGGTTTGGCCTCTTGTAGATTGGACCACCCTGAATTATGGAGTGCTCAATTTTCTCACATAAAATCAACACCTCTACCAGCATCCATAAACAATGGTATTTCAATAACTTGGCCAAGGACTGTTGAAATCGTCAAGTTTAGTAAAAGCACTGCTCCAGCCGTCAACATTTTCTTCCTCCTTGAGGGTCGTTCGATGGTAACTGTCTCTCCAAAACCAAATGAAAATTTCAGCTCTCCCTGAGAAATTCCAATACTACTTTGCACTTGATGTGTCAATATATTAGCGCTTCCTCCATTGGCATTTGCATGCTGCTCATAGAGTTGTTTAATGGGTATACGCACCTCTCCTATATATCGATCCCCTAGCTTTCGCTTGCAATATAAGGTGATCACCTCCTCAATCCCTTCGTTTTGCACAGCCAACTCACCGATCATGTATTGCATCGTGACGTTCCAAGTAGGATTGGTCTCGCCTGCCTTATCTATCAGAGTTCGTTTCCTTGTTTTTGCATTGCCTGCAATAGTAACCTCCGCATAAACCTTCATCTTAAATTTCTCACGTACGTCACTCAAATTAGTAGCTGATATAAGTTTGATCTCAAACGTTTTACACTCCATTTTTTGTATCCTGAGGTGTAGACTAGAAAGTCCACCCATATATAGAGACGACTGAGAATTATTAGCCAAGCAAATGAAAAAAAAAAATCTTATTGGAATTTATGACTTGAAAGGGATTTGCAGGAAATAATAAGTTCAAGTTTAACGCGGTTACCGAATGTTGACTTTGATGTTCTCCTAAAAATAAAATAAATGCGAGGTGGTTTAATATGGCAGAGAAGTAGTTTAAATGAAAAATTAAACAAAATTTTCATGCTTATAATTAATATTCAAAAGTTAAAACTCAAATGTATCTCATCCCTTAGATGAGCGTAGATTAAGTGGGTCCCACTAAAAAAATTGATGGGACCCATTCATACCAAAAAAAATATGTATTTGAGTTGTAATTTTTTTAGTTTCATTCGGGTTTTATAGCATTGCTCTTAATTTAAACTACTTCTACTCATTAAATTTTCTTGTAAATTTGTGTGTCGTAAAATAAAATTAATAAGAAAAAAATCTAAATCAGATAAAGGGGCCTTGAAATTTAAACTAAGAATATAATTACAATTCATAACAATTAGTTGATAAACTGCTACTTAATCAATTGAGCAAAACATCCAAAGTATTGTGGTAGGAGATACTTTATGTTTTCTATTTACATAAAAATCGGGTAGGACCAAAAAAATAAGGTTAAAATTAGGCAACAACCTTAGTCANTTGAATTTTTAAAGTTGTGATTTTTGGGTTGTGATCGATCATGATCTTTGGAATTTTAGTTTACACCACAAAAAATAATAACTTGACCTTAACGCGTTGTAATTGTCGGAAAAATATCTTCTACGTTATCTTCCTCATGAGAGGGAGGGATATGTGTTACGCATAGCAGACCTATTTTTCTACTTGATCTTAGAATTGTGTGTGTGATAAGTTTTTGGCTCTATGCGTTCAAGGCAATTGTCGTAGCCCACAAAAGCCAATTTTAAGGATCAAACACCCATTTTTTTTAATTATTATCAGTTTTGTAATTTTAAATTCTTAAATTATAATTTTGTTTGCAATCTTAATTATGATTCTTACTTATTAGTAATCAAACATATTTTTTTTCTATTTTTTGACAAAACTACTTTTCTGAAACCATACTTCAACCATATAGCTAACTAGAAGGATGAACCTAAAAATTTTCAAAAATAAAATAATACAAAACATAAATGACCAAAGAAAACTTTACAAACTTTCATGGGGCCATAACCCCCCTTGACATCACGTGACTCAGCTAATGTGACAAATAAATGACACATATCAACCAATAACCAATTTCTTCTCCTTTAGTTTGAATTAAATAAATTGTGTTGAAATGGGTTTAAATTTGTTGAAGATAATTTTGAATTTCTATTTGACAATGGAGTAATGTTAAATAATGTAAATATACAACGTCCCACATGGTAGTGGTCTCCTATGTCGCTTGGGCCACTGTCCCCCAAGAGTATCAGGCATGTCTTGAAACACTCCACCATCTACAAGTTCATGTACATGATGATGCCCACGATCCCTAACTCCAGGCCCACCTTGTGCTCTAGGTCCCCCTCTGCCCTTCCCTCTATACAAAACCGATGGTTCCCGAGCCACTCTCTCACTAGGACCCCCATAATCTCTAAAAGAGTCCTCATATGAAATAGGAGAAGTAGGTCTGTGGAATAGTCGGTGAAATACAAGGCACATTGGGGCAAAGTGTATCTGCCTAGACATCTACATGTGTCACATCTCCCTATCAACCGCCTCATGTGAAATGTGCGATGACGCCGACGTAGGCACGTGTGGGGAGGCCAGTGATGAAAAAATCAAAGTAATTATAGATGTTTAAGATAGGGTCAACGGGTGGTGGAGTGCCATGATTAGCAACAAGGATATGTAGTGTAGGTGGTGGACACGCCCCGGTGGTGTGCGGAGTAGATGAAGATGGCGGGATTGCATGTGATGAGGTGGAAGTAGTATCCACGGCCGATGGGGAGGCCTGTCTACGGGTTCGTGTCGCCACCGTCTGTCGTGGAATACGTATGCCATGTTGAGGTGTAGAATTGGTGGTGCAACTGATGGCCGCCTACTGTCTGAAGGTGCCTATACGAGACAGAGGTGCTCATGAATTGCATACAAACACTTGAAGCTAAAATCCTCGATTCAGCCCATTGCCACCAAGCAAATACTGAAGTCTGGCTGGCTATTAAAACGCGTCATCTATTGTGTGATATATTTGTATGAATGTCTGCTCTTGCATAACCATACGATTATGGTTTTAGTACAAAATAAATTGATTTAGCTAACATGTTAATATTAACAATTTAGCAACACATATCAATAGTTTGATGACACTGTCGATGGGCTAAAAATCGACACCAGGCCATGGAATAGATAGTTCGATAAGTAGACGAGTGATACATCGATACCACTTCTTATATGAATCAGTGGGATCCATCAGTCCAATGATGGGCTTGCCTGCAACAATAGTGTCTTGTCGTCGATCTCACATGTTGATGTAACGCTAATAACAATAATCCAGTCATACCTAGGCTTATCATGCCGATTTATGACATGTAGCTCCCTACTCGAATCATACGCCTCTTGTATCGGCTATGTCAACCAAACTGTTGGAGAACACAGTCAGGAAAATGCCACTTAACACCACATCAAAACATATGAGTGGTGACCGTATAGTCCATAGATCTTGCCCTAGCACACAATAATCAGGTAGGCTAATCAACACATCCACTGTGAAAGACTGTCATATCATCTAAAATATAAGAATATAATTAGTTGTTATAAGACACTCAATAAAAATTTTAGCAAAATCTCCCCTATAAATATGAACCCAAAACTTTTTTAACATGTTTATAATTTAACCAAAACAACTATGACATCTTTGCATTCATTAACTAAAAAAACAACCAATGTAACAAACATAACAATCTAGGAGAATTTAGAAACCAGTACAATTTTTTAGACTTATTTGGGCAAAAGTACAACTCAAAAACTTATTTGGGATAAAGTGCATATTTTTTAAAAATACCGGTATTGCCATTTTGTAAACAACAGAAACGTAGAACACATTTGTATTCATTCGTATATTATGGCTACAATCAATTAATGGTTTGTAAAAAAGGGGATTTAATTATCAAAACCCTTATTCTTCAACGTCCTAATACTATGGCAATGAGATATCCATAGAATGACATAACTGTTTATATGTGATTAACCATTGAATATTCCACAAAAAAAGAGTATTACGATAGTTCCAAATCCGACTGTTCATCTTCGTCGACAGCATGTAGAACCTGTTCAACGTCTCCAGCAACTTCTTCACCGAAAATTTGAGGTGACTTTCTATTTTTTTTTTCATTCATTGATTATTTAGTTTTTTTTTTCATAAACCTATGTAAGTTGATTCAAAAAGAAAACCGAATCGTAAAACCTTAATTTCGTGAAATTATATTAAGAATTTGCAGTTATGTTATAGCACATGCATATGAAAAAAAACACTTTTGAACATGATTTTTTTGATTAAAAATAGTTACGTAACTGTTTTAAGTAACTATTTGGGATTCAAATATAGACAATTCATATTCAAAATTTAATGGGTTTAACTGTGTTGCGTAACTATTCTTCTGATTTTAAGAATTCAATTCTTATAAGTCTGTTATTGACAACTTTATGGTTCATGATTTTTTTGATTAAAAATATTTACGTAACTATTTTAAGTAACTAATTGAGATTCAAATATAGACATTTCATATTCAAAATTTAATGGGTTTAACTGTGTTGCGTAACTATTTTTCTCATTTTAAAGATTCAATTCTTATAAGTCTGTTATTGGTAACTTTATGGTTCATGTTTTTTATGATTAAAAATAGTTACGTAACTATTTTAAATATCTATTTGGGATTCAAATTATAAATCAGTTTATATTCAAAATTTAATGAGTTTAACTGTGTTGCGTAACTATTTTTCTCATTTTAAGGATTCAATTCTTATAAGTCTGTTGTTGATAACTTTATGGTTCATGTTTATTTTTTGATTAAAAATAGTTATGTAACTATTTTAAATATCTATTTGAGATTCGGATTATAATTAGTTCTATTCAAAATTTAATGGGTTTAACTATGTTGCGTAACTATTTTTCTGATTTTAAGGATTCAATTTTTATATCTGTTATTGGTAACTGTATTGATTAACTGTTGAATATCTATATCTTATTTGTGTTGTAACTGTCTTGAGTATCTGTTATTGAATCAAGCATAATGTTAACGGTCTTTTGGTCTGTGGATTAATTGTTGTTCACATTCTTAATGGAGGTAGGCCAGAATAGAGCCCAAACCAATTGCAATATGGTATCTGTATGACCATTTCAATGGGTTGCCCAATTTAGATTTTGGGTATGGTATCTTATCAAGACTCCCATTCGACATAAACTCATACACAAGTAGCAATTCACCCTTCTCAACACACCAACATTAGAGTTGAAATAAATATTTGTGCCTCAAACAAGCAATAATGGACAATTCATCTAAGAATTCAGTTTTACCTATGAGAATGCTTTGATCCTTTCATTGCAGTAACATTTCCTGATTCTATGAAAAAGGCTCAGTAAACAGTGTCAAATGCTTCGTAAACAATGCCAAATGCCTTTTGTAGCTGACTTGAGCTCTTTGAGTATTTGCACAGAGCTTTCTGGAAATGTGTGACACCACCTTCAAACTTTTGGCCTACATGTCTTATTTCATTTGACCACCCAGTTGCCAACAATACTTTTCCCGTATGTGAGCAAAAGCGAGGGAGCAAATCGTCATCAGACTCGACATCATCATCGTAAATATAAACATCTTCAAGCAAATTATAACCATCAACCACCACACGTGACTCTTTATCTTGCCTAGTTACCATGAACTCAACATGATTGACATTTATCAAATGCATTATATCAAATATGTTACGCAAGCCCTAATCTTTTGCAAACAACATTTTGGGTG